GGCTTAGGGCACAGGGGCCTGGGCAGGCCCCTTCATCTCTGTTCAGGGTGAAAGATACCTTGGTGTCTTCTCAGGTCATGACAGTCCACCTCCTGTCTAGAAACTGCCCCAGACCATAAGGTTGGCCCCTGGCAGCCGTATCTGTCCTGCGTAACCTCCCTTCCTACCCCTGTGGGTTTCTGACCCCGCGCTGGTCAGATTCTTTTTCCTGGGCATTTGAAGTGGATCTAAGAGATAGCAAGTTAGTAACCTCATGTGAAAGAAGGTGAAGACTGTAAACGTGGGAGCTGGAGGTGGGCAGGGTGGAGATCACCTCTAACCGTGTAGCCTGGAGAAGCTCTTGCCAGAGACACTGAAGAAAGAACAAGATGAGAAATAGAGACAGAGCTGGCCCATGGCTCACTTGGGAGCGTGGTGCGGATAACACCAAGGTCAAGGGTTTGGATCCCCATACCGGCCAGCTGCCAAAAAAACGAGCAAAAAAAAAAGAAAGAGAGACAGGCCTGACTAAAGTCCTGGTCATTGTTCCAGTCCCTTCTGCAGGCTGGGTTGCGGTCTCAGCCTCAGGTTTGGCTGGATACCTGCGTGTGGTTATGATGTTTGCTCAAGTGGGTCCCTGTTCCACAGACAATTCCAACAGTACAGAGGGGCAGACGTACCTCAGACCTACTGCTGCAGGCTGACGTGGGCCTGACCTCATTTGCAGGGTAGTGCGGGGGAAGGACAAGATAGACCTAAAGAACTAAATGGGCTAGATCCTTCCCAAGGTCTTCTCTTTTTCCTGGCTCTGGCTCTGGGAAGCCAAAGAGAGGTAAGACTGTGGGACCCCAACCCCTAGGCGTGCTGTGAACTGAACCTGCTGTGGCCCCTGGCTACTCTGGACTGAAGGATCCCCAGAGCCAGCCAGTTCCCCAGGACTCCCTAACCAGGGTTGATGAGGACGACCCCATGTTCCCAGGACTAAAGTGAGGAAGGAATCTATCTCCTGAAGCCCCGGCTGACATCCTTTGGCCTTAAGACCTGGGGAAGCAGATGAAAAGCTTGGACCAAGAGGGGCCGACTTCTGAACTCAAACTCAGGTAAAGGAAAGAGGAGGTTCCCACAATGACTCTTTGGTGATTGGTTAAAAAAAAGTGAAATGATGATTTATCTCTTCAAATTCAGTCAAGAGTAGGGGAGAGACAGCTGACTCATGCTTTGAGGTCATGTCAGTGGTTCCCAAACCTGGCTGCACATCAGAATCCCCTGGGAAAGTTTGAAAACATAGAGGTGTCCGGACACTCCCCCAGACCTTCTGATTC